TGATCTAGACACCCAAGCTGCAAGAAGAACCCACTCCTTGGTCACGAATCCAGCCAAACCTGCACAGCCGGGTCGAAAACAAACAAAAAACAAAACTGATCATGACACCTATGCTAAAAACAATGAGGCCAAGGATGTGCTCACCAAGCCAAGGATCCGCCCAATTCTCACCTGCTAAAAACAGAGAGTTGTTGCATCGGCCCCAGCCCCTATTTTTGCTCAAACCACCGCAAGGATGCAGACCCAGCTCCGGTTCTTTGCGAAAACCAGACACCTAGACAAAGCCCTTGCTGAAACTGAAAACTCACGACCCAGCTCCAATCCAAGTGCTCCTGCCGAAGCTTCAAACAGCAACACACCAAAATGTCGGGTGTCCACCAAAAACAAAAATCAAACTGACCTTGCCGAACGGCAAGGTCCATACGGATCCAAATCATGGGCTCACCTCGGAAAGCTCCCAAGACCACCGAACTCAGCTTCAGCTTCGAGATACAAAGGTCCCAGGCTCTCTCACCGAAGGCCTCGCTCTGACTCTTCAAGTGACCCAACGGCCCGACGGTTTAGCCAGCCACACACCAACACAACTTGCCGAACGGCAAGGGTCGTGGAAGAATTCAAGGGGAAGCTCACGACAATACCAACTCCAACTCAAGCTTGCCGAAGGATCCCACAAGGGCCAGCTCCGTTTCCAACTCCAAGATCACGAAAGCACCTGTTGCTGAAACCTTCTGCCTTCTCACCTCCAGTTGAGGTAACCAAAGGCCTACGCTCTCTTGCCGAAGACAGATCAGCCCTCCTTGGGTCCCTTGCTGAACAAAGGAAGGGAGCTCACGAATTTCCTTTCAAACCTCTTGCTGAAGGCCTAGTCTCAAGGGAACCTCCCTCAAAAATCCCAATGATCCCTTGCCGAACGGCAAGGGTCGTGCTTCAGCTAAATAGGGGCGACACTAATAAGTCTTGCCGAATGCTCCCAACTTCTCAAACCCAGGGCCTCATTTGGTCTAGACCCACTTCAGCCTTCGCCAAGGCCCCATGGACCCAGCTCCCTGCCGAAAGCCCAACTAAGGCTAAGCCCGAAACCATGACTTAGCCTACTTGACGAAGGTCCACTCCAACAAAGACCCACTCCTTTCCGAAGACAGATCAGCCCTCCTTGGGTCCCTTGCCGAACGGCACCCGCCACTTGTCAAACTATCAAACACCGAGAGCCCAGCCACTTGTCAGAAGGTATAGCCCCAAGCCTAGCTCCAAGGCAGCCGGTTCCAAGCTACGTGCCGAACCCAGGAGGCCCAAAATCCATATTCACGCTCAGACAGCTCACAATATACCTTCAGCATGCTTCTACCGATCAGCAAGACAATAGTAACATGCTCAGCTCCTCCTCCCGAACGCTGGCCATTTGATAACGGCCCAACCTTTGGTACCCGGCTCCAAATGCCTTACCAAAGCTCCATCAAGGCCTAGCTCCACGCAACATTTCCGAAGCTTGGAAGGAGACCTCGTGCTGACGTCACACCTTCCCTTCGGAAGGCATGATGACGTCACACCTTCTCTTCAGAAGGCTCCCTTCCGAAGCTTGGAAGGATCACTCGCGATGACGTCACACCTTCCCTTCGGAAGGCTCCCTTCCGAAGCTTGGAAGGAGACCTCGCGATGACGTCACACCTTCCCTTCGGAAGGTACCCGTGACGTCATACCTTACCTTCGGAAGGCTATCTTCGGTAGGCCACCTTCGGCACCCCTATGACCGAAAAAAAAAAAAAAAAAAAAAAAAAAAAGGGGTCTTTTAGTTTTCAAACTTGGGGGACTAGGGGACTACCTTCGGCAC